CTATGCAGTTTTTTTTTTTTTAAATCTAATCACTTCCCTGTCAACCTAATCCCTGCCTGACTCGGACCGGCCTTTAACAAACGTGCCTGGAAACCCAAAAGCAAATCTCATTTGAATGAAGCACACACTCCGCAGCCCCCATCTGCAAAGGCCACAATTAAATGCGAAACGACAGAGAGAGAAATTAGCATTTTCCGCGGCCATCTGGCGCGAGGAGCAGGCGAGGAGGAACAAAAGGCGCGAGGGGCGGAGGGGAGAGCCGAGTGTGCCGCGGCATTGACCTGCAAATGAGCCTTTGTGAGCAAATTAAAGCTTCCCGGACCCCCCGGGACACCCCAAAACAGGCACCATTACAAACCATCCGGACAAAAACCCACTCATCAAAACTGTCTGCGGCGACGGTGCTGAGGCGAACCGAGGCGAGCGCGGCGCAAACCGGCTCACCTCATCTCGGGAAGTGAGGGAGCTGCGCGGCCTACCAAGGAACCTGCCGCACAGGCCTGGCTTTGGCCTTGTTTTTAGAAAGGGAGCGTCTGCACCTCAGGATTACTCAGGATGCGTGATCGAGAAATCCAGGCTTTTGTTTTGTTTTCTGGCATTGGGTTATTTACCCGGCAGTGAATGATACATTTTAAGGGTCTCGGGAGCTGCGGAAGGCCAAAACTAGCTTTCCCGCTCAACTACGTTCCTCACAGAAACATTTTCTGCCCCGATAAAACAACGAAATAGCAAAAAGGATTGCTGGAAAGACCAGACTTTTTCGAGTGCCAGACATCTAAAAAACCCACTGAATTGGGAATCGGTGTTGGCTGTTCCGATGGCGTCGTCTTTAAGATTCATGTACAGATGCTTTCGAAATGACATTCCCAGATGCTTGGGATTTGGCAAGGAATTTATGGGCTGTCTATCCCAAAAATAACCCTGCTCTAAACATGGGAGCAAGTTAGTCCCATTCATTCCAATGTTTACTTCAAGCTTTGCTCTCCACCTCTGCACATGTTTATTCTGAAATAAAGCTCACTGCCTTAAATGAGACTTAAGCTCAAGGCAGCACATATCAAATTGTAGTCTTGATTGCAGACATGTTACACTGCTAAACCTTACAGGGTTAGTTCCCTATAATGAGTAAGTTCCCTATAATGAGTAAGTCTCCTCATTATAGGGGAAGGGGATCTCCAGGAGTAGATAATCAAATCTTTGTTAGTGGAGGAAAAAAGGATTCAGACTGGTCTAAGGTATCACATCCTGGAATGATCTATGTTATTGGGGCATTGCCATTTTTTCCTGAATTCTGATTTCCAGACAATAGAAACATTTTGTTTTATAGTCAGCATCTGACCAGTTACATCTCTTGTGCTAAAACTACTCTTCAGAAGTTCAGAGTATGAGAAAGCTACAAACTCTTGTGCAATTTCTCTTCTGCAATCCTGGGAATACATTTAGGAGAGTGTATTCAACTGTCAAGTGAGGTAAAAGAAGCATGCCACTGAAATTAGCAGAAGACAAAGGAAACAACAGCAGCAGCAACAACAATAACAGCACAAGGGAATCTACAACCCACAAACAGGATTTTGGAATACGAATTGCTGTTGCAAAATGAAATTCAATAGCTGAGGTTCAGCTCATTCCCAGTACAACATTTTCATAGTCAGAAAAGTGGTGTCTATTGCATTTCTAACTGTCATGCAGGAGTTCTGCCAGCAAAACATGTCCAGGAGTTCTGCCAGCAAAAAAGATGATAAGCAGAAATAACCCTAATAGAAAGACTAACAAAATGAGCTTTCATAGGCCTGATAAAAAAAAATATTGTATCTTTTTTAGTCTTAAGTTGATGATTTTTCCATGATTGTAATGGTTTTCAGCTTGCAAAACGAAATAAAATGAAGCCTGCTAAAGTTTTAAATGATAATTAGAACAAAGTACAGTAAGTAAATCTTACAAAAATGGTGAAAATAAGTTCCTTTCTACTTTGCATTATGCATTATGTCCAAGTAAACACATCAATATAAATATGGCTAAAATTTCTAAGATTGGAAAAATTAGCAACTGTATAACAAATAATAATTTGGAGGTTAACTTAACAGCAAGCTGCTTCGTTAGTTACATAAAGTACATAGATGAGACAATATATTAATGTGTACTGAATAGTCTAAATTAATGAGGTAAAACAAAGTTTACTCATAGAATTTCCATTGAAATGTGAGACATAAAAACTACCTATAACTCCTGATGCTCTACACTATATTTTTCAGTTTCATTTGTGTACATGCACAAATACTTGCAAGAGGTATTGCTTTAAAAAAAATGAAATGCATTCTAGATACCATTATATTGTAACTTGAACCGTACTTAAAGAACCTGATGTCATTAGTTTTTGCTTCCCAAAATTGCTATGTGGCAGAGAAAGAGAAAATAATTCATAAGTTAAAAAAAATCATAAAATAATAGTTTTTCAAGCAAGGTTCTGAAATGTGCTATCAATTCTCTGTGTAGAGCAGAGGTTCTGTGTTTTTTAAAATTCATATTTGTTTGAATTCGTATAAAGTTTGTTGCAGGGTCAGGAAGGCTAATAAGGCATCTTGCTTTCTGCTCACATTCAAGGAAAACTGCATAGATTCTCACATTCTCAAAACTGCTCACATTCAAGGTAGACTGCTGCATACTTCCCTGTTCAACTGAGGAATTGGAAACTTATATTTCCAGTCTCTGCATCAATGAGGAATACATTTCCAAATGTCAATAGGCATCTGTAGAATAACACTTAAGCAGAGAGTGTTTCTCACTGGGAAAAGGAGCAAGAAGGTGAAAACATTTATTTCTCTTTGCGATCCTGTGTCTCATCAAAAGCTGTTGTATAGGACCAGTGGACTTTAGAGCAGCATGAAACACAAAGCATGAAGTTGTAGAGAAATCATCTCTCCCCCCCCCCACCTAAAATGAGAAACTTCCATGTGTCCTATTTTGCAAGATGGCTAATCTGGATGTAGCCCAAAATCCACCTAAAGCTCTTCTAGAGTCTCTGCAATAAAGTTCTGAATATAAATATTCTAAAAAGCATACATACTTAATATCCTTTTAAAACAGCTTGCTTCTTGGGAGGGAAATTGTAGTTTTATTTACATATTTTATGTTTTATAACTGTGATGAGATTGTGTGACAATTTGATCTGTCCAATGTGTGTCTGATTTTATTGTTTTCATTCAGGGTAGATTCTGTTGGCAAAGAGAAAACTGGCTGTACACACATTGGATCTGTTTCTTAACTCATAAACTCTTGTGTGTATTTTTGGACATTTTTTTGTTCCATAGCATTTTAAACATGACCAGAATTCACTGCATTATGAATCAGTCAGATACATAGATTGCATGGATTTTAGATGCAGAAATTTAGATCTGCCAAAACTGTTCTGCATGGAACAGTTCATTTTTTCTGCTCATCTTTATTTATTTCAGCTACAGCCAATAGAGATACTACATTTGCATTAAACATATGGAAATATAGTGAAAAAGAAAAAACAAAAGCTGAAATCCTAAACATTTTTACTTGATGATACTGTAAACTGCTCTGAAACCAATATACTTTAAATCTGAGTTTAAAAAAATATGATTATAATTTAGTGTCACATAATGTATAGTTGCTACAGTGTTAATGCATGAGATTTATCCCCAATAAAATGTTGTCTAGCTTACAGAAATATCTAAATAAAATTACAGAAATTAGAATTACTATTAAAAATAAAATGAAATCTAGAAACTTCCTTCTAGGTTCTAAAAAAATAAGAATACTTTGCCTTAATACATCAAACATAATAGCAGAGAAGCCAAGTGTGGTTTTCTGAAAAAAAGATTCTATAAGAAGTACCCCAGAGCCTTAAAAGCTTTTGTTCAGGAGGCTCAAAATGGTAAAGAGATAAGCTTAAATCTAGGGCATGATCATTCCTTTCAAATCATTATGACCTTAACTATCTGTGCTGGTGTCTTAATTTAAGATTGAAAATAAAAAGGCAGCCTATTACGTTCTTTTAATATAATTCTAGTGAACTGCATCAGTCTTGCACTCTGTATTATAGCAGCTGCAGTTTCTGAAACCTGTGAGAACAATCTCTAGTACAATTCATTGGAAAGATTACCAGAAACTAGAAAACTGGTCTAGTTATCCTTGTCATGAAAAGGTGAAACTAAGTTAAGGAAAACGACACTGAAATAATGTAGGCTTCTATTGATAAAACTAAATCAAGGGACACCCACGTAATGGAAACCTGATCCTTCCATGGAAGTGCAGCTGTCTCCAGTAAATTGAACAATACCTTCCTAAGCCAGAAAACATTTTTTCCATGGAATCTCAACTTGTTAAGGATAAGCAATGTTAGTGATATCACTATAAATGGTTGCTTTCATGATACAACTATCACTTTAGGTTTCAACCAGAAAGCTGTTTTCTGAAAAATACCTTTCATTGCCATTGCATATTGCATTATTCTAGAAACTGAATTGTCTCACAGATGCATACTTACTGTTTACTAAGTGTAGTATTAATAACTGGTGAATATAAATTAAATGTCAACATACACAAATCATTTTCGTAACTCATCTTGGTGTCAACTCTAAGATAGCAAATTTTAGTAGCAAAGTTCACCTATTCAGTTGAACGACAAAAGTGCTTTATTTGCACATGTAAAAATGCAAATCCCAATGCTTTCAACTGAATTGAGACTTCTTAGTGCAGTACCATCTGGACATGATTCATAACATCAGCATAGTCAGCTCAGGAGTAAATGAGCTTTTGGAGAGGTTATGTATGGCCTCTTAGAAAGGCCATACTCTCAAAGGAGTCCAAGGTAATCTTGGAGTGCAGTGTTTGTGTGGTGCACTCACAAACTGTTTTCCGTCCCTTCCCTTGGCTTTATCTCAGCTCTTGAGCTGTGTTTAGGGCCTCCAGGTGCCGCTCTGTCCGCATTTATTTGCAATCAATATTCATGTGCCTCTGTCATCAGGGTGGCTCTTTTCACAATGATCAGCCGGGCAGAAGGCTGAGTGACAGGAGGCTCGTGGCTCCGTTGCTTTCAGGATGGAAAAAGAAAGAAGAATAAGAATTTAGAGCTTGCTTGCTTGCTTGGGAGAGTGAATCCTTCATTTCTGTTTAGAGGTGAGACAAGGAATTACTCTATATTCAGGATCTGTATTTTCTTTATGGGAAGGATACGTTAGCGATACAGAGTAAACATATGTAATCTTTGCTTATGTAAGGTTAAAACAAAACAAACTCAACCAAAGATTTATCAAATGGATTAGACAAGACAAACTCACAAGTGTCAGTCTCAATGTTTCTCTGTTCATAACTCTGCCCTATACTATCCTTTCACAGTAAATGTTAAATCTCAATGTCTCTATTTACCAAAGGCCTTGTAATATATTGGAAAGACACAACTGAAGCTTTATTAATATGTACCAGATAGAAGGTTAAAATAAATATATACTGCAATTCTAAAAATGTACACCCTGTATATTTACAGGAAGTAAATACTGTTGGGGGCAATGAGATACATTCTCATGATACTTCTACAGGGGTCCTTCACATGATATTGGTAGAGTCTGGAAGCTGAATGGATTTATTACCTCTTCTACTGTAGTATATGTGAAATTGTAGCGAATCTAGTTTTTTTTTCCTTGAAGTATTAAAACTGCAAAGTTTCTGGGCAATCTATTAGCCTATTGGCATGAACTCTTCTTTCTGCATCTCATCTTCTTTCACTTTTAATTTGGCAGGATCTGTTTTTGAAGAATTGGAGAATGAAAATGGTGGCCTTGAAGTACTCACAAATAGCTATAGTCTGACATATGCTTTCATTATTTTGTGCCTTCCAAATATATTGGACTGTTCTATCTATAATTCCTAGCCTACATATTTTTTGTTGGCTGGACATTGTGAGACTGCTGTCAAATACAACCAGATGTACCAGGCTGGGAAAGGCTGCATTAAAAGATTTTGGCAATCCAATATTATATATGTTTGTCACAAATCACACTATGTTATAATTTTTCTTGTCATATTGCACAAATCCAACAAACTATACAGTACAGTAAATTATAGCTAAACAAACTATGGCTTAATTCAGGATATGAGCCAGAGCCTATGTTTAGTGAGACTTACATCTAAGCATTTCATGTACTTGAAAATTGTCTTTATATATTTCAGGTTGACTTTTGTATAAAATTATTAAGGTTAATACTTATTATCAAATGCATATGCCACTATTACCAGAATACTACATGTGATGTATGGAATTGTATAGTACAGTATTGCCTCTTCCATAATGATTGTGTGATATGGCATGCTGGCCCAACATTCTTAATGTCATTGTTAAAAGTATTTAATAGTTAATTGACTTCAAATAAAAATTGTCCATAAGTACAAAGGGCACTGGGTTATGCTGTGAGCCTCAGCCCTAATACTTCATAACATTCATCTTCATCCCCAAATATGAAGGCATTATATGGGAAAGCTATACTGTGTATCTGGAATATTGCAGAATCAGGATACTAGAATAATAACTTTCAATCATTTGTACCTTAAATCCCATCAATCTCCTATCAAGTAACTCAGATCCCACTATAACAGAAACAAAAAGTCAAATTTCCTCAAGAAAGACATGTACATATTTAAAGGCATGTTATGATGATCATGTTATCGTTTATATTAAGTTAATATTATAGTTTCAGTGCAGTGGTGAAATCCAAATTTTTTTACTACTGGTTCTGGGGGGGTGGCTTGGTGGGTGTGGTGTGGCTTGGTGGGTGTGGCAGGGGAAGGATACTGCAAAATCTCCATTCCCACCCCACTCTAGAGGAAGGATACTACAAAATCCCCATTCCCTCCCCACTCCTGGGGGAAGGATATTGCAAAATCTCCATTCCTACCCCACTCTGGGGCCAGCTAGAGGTGGTATTTTCCGGTTCTCCAAACTACTCAAAATTTCCGCTACTGGTTCTCCAGAACCTGTCAGAACCTGCTAGATTTCACCCCTGTTTCAGTGGCTTAAACACTTACCTAGATTATCTCTTGAGTCCCACAAGGGGTATGCATGCTGTTGCTTGAGAAGCGGCATTCTAGAGTGCATGGGGTACTCAGAGTTCTTCAGATGTTTTGATTCACTGGATGGGCCTAAGAGGTATAATGCTATAGATGAAGTTACTTTGTTGGCCTTCCTCCCTTTTCCACATGTGCAGAGATTTCAAGAAAGTAACCTAAGAAAAGAACAAATATTTGAAATAGTTCCAAGTTAATGTTTTAAATGTTTTAAATTGTTGGATACCCACTTTTTATTATTCATGTTTGGATAGTTATGTCAGGACAAAACTGCCTTGTTCTACCCACAACTAGCCTGCTACACAGTGTCAGTGAAATAGTTGTCCCATCATCACTACTCATGGTTGAAATAAATCTCAGCTGCAACCTCAGTTGATTTCTACGCATTGGAATTGATAAAGTTTTATGAAGAAAGTTTAATGAGAAAGGAGAACATACTGGAAAAAAAAGTAAGACTATGACATTTTGCACAGATATAGTGTGCCATGCTGAATGTTCAGCCACCTTAAGCATAACAAATCAAAGCCATACTTCAGCCCACTGAAAGCACTGGGCTTAAATGTTTCTAAGTGCATTTGGTTGTGAGAATTTTTATTCACCACTTCACAACAGATATTTTCTGCTACCACATTTTTTAAAGCTGAACAAATGAGACAATAAAATCATCATAGGGCTATTTCATTTTTTGGTAGGATGATTTCTTATGTGAATGTTTTGCTAAAAATACCTCACCATTTCTATTCCGTATTATCCTAATAAAATTAGAGTTAACAATGTAAAGGTTAGCACCAGGTTTCATAGGCTTTTCTAAAATACTGTAATCTGGAAAAACTGAAACTGAACCTTTGCATTTCTTCCTCATATATGCATCTGTGAAAACTATGTCAATAAAGCACTTGGCTGCCTTTGAGATGCTAGGATACTTCTTGTTCGTTTTTCTTCCGTTATACTGCTACACTAATGCAGAATAATGGAATACACAGTGGTTTGGATGTACTAGCTTTGTATTTAGCTTAGAGTTGCCAACTCTAAGCTAAATACACCAGCTAAAATCTTGTGCAGAATAGTAGGATCTGCAGCAGTTAAGAGCTGACATGGAAAACTTCAGTAGCTGATTTCTGCAACTCTGTAATTTTAGTCCTGATTCCTTAGTGACTCTAGTTTATTTGCAAGTAGCACAAGTATCTGCCTTGCTTGCCCCACATTTTCATCTACAGTAGGAGGAAACGCCCTTCTCTTCCTGCCCCTTCCCCCACCCTGCCTCTTTCCATGTAGATGAGCTCAGTGTCTTCAGCACAGGCCTTTCCAGAGACTCACTGTTCTGGTCTCTGCAATCAATTGATACATGATAATTAGATTCCTCAAGAAAAGCCAAACAAAGAGACCCATTCACCCCCTGCTTCTCTCACACGAATCCCAGTGAGAGTGATCTGGGACATTCACCAGAAACCAGACAGCCAACATTCTCCAGCACTAAAAACACAATTTAGCTTGGGGTGTTCATTTAACAAACAGATCCTTGAACCTTGCTTCTGTTTTCAGCTTATTTACGCCATGTTTCTTTACACTCATTTGATTAAAACATGTTTCTTTCTAAGATCTATTTTTACATTTCAAGAATCTCTGTTCTTTTTTGTGGTGGCAGATGGTTCAAAACATCCGAGCACAAGCTCCTTTAAAAAAAAAACACAACCTTCTCTTATACCACACTAAAAACCGCAGTTTTAATATAAAAGAACTGGCAAGATTCAGTCAGGTTAAAAATATAATCAATGTGGACATACACACAAATAGTTGAAAAAGAAGTGTGCTTAGATTCAATTAACCTGGTTTGCTTCTATCCCAGCTGTGGAAGGGACAGATTCCGTGCACTCTAAAGCAAATTTACACACAGAAAGTTCAATACAGAGAAGGTGTATTACAGAAATTACATCCATTTGATTGTTTCACATAGAGAGGCTCTTTGTTAGCCAGACACGATTCCTCATTTGCTCTTACAAAGGCTTCATATTGACAGCATAACTTGTGAACTCCTAAGCTATTGGGAACATGGGTGCCAATTTCTGAGGAGGGAAGTTGGAAGCCATACTTAAATGTCAACTCCCCAGTAGCAATACACTGAGAGGCTAAGACTTTGTGGTCCCTGAACTTTTTGGGTAGGGCTTGTACTAAATTGATGCAGTGAGCGCCAACATTCACAAGAATTTTGAAACATATAAGTGGCTTGTTCTTCTGTCAGTTTCTTCTTTAAACTGGGTAGGGGGAGTTTTCTTGCATACCTGTTATTCCCTGACACTGGAGCAGAGTTAGAGAGAAGCAAGTAATTAGGAGCTTTCTTTGACTTGCCTGGAGCTCCTTCTTGTGCAATACTGCTGGGATGTGTGGATGAAATCAGTTCACAGGCTACAGTCTTATATCTCCATCTACTAAATATTACTTTATTGGGGGGGAAGGAAGTGTCTTTACTGCTTGCCTTCTGGTGATCAAAATTACTTTTACAAGTACTTATAGGGAATAGGAGCTCACTCCTGACCCATCCTTTCCATTTGGAAGTCCATCATATCAGCACCCACTTTATTAAAAAATAATGAAGAGCAAAACTTCTAGCTCACTGTGTAGTCCATTGAGATTTGATACAGAGATTTGAACTGAATTATCCCATTCTTCTGAACTTGATCATCAACTGAGAATGAATAAGATGAAACAGGATGCTTCCAGTTCAGTGGCTTCATTTCCTTCTTGTACATGTGCAAAAAGACAATTTTATCCCTATTGTATGCAACTAAAACATTCTTTCTCACTTAAAAAATACAAAACAAATCTCAAAATATTTAGAATCTTTTTTCCACAAAATTTAATAAATTGTCAAAGAAGCACCAAACCCGAAGTAGACAAAAGTAGCACCAAAGCAGACAAAACAAAATAGAATTATGCCTGCTCTACTCACAAAAATAGTCAGCACAGCAGAATTTTTTCAAGGAGAAATCAATATAAAGCAGCAACACAACTCTTCTTAGCCCATACCTGTCTTTTGTTCAGACCTGATATCTGCTAGTATACTGAACAGAGAGTAAATCTTTTGCAGTTTTTCTCAATTCCTGATTTCAGGTGTATGGAGTCATACCTATGCATAGGATTATCATGTTGGATGCATTATTATAATTTCTTTACTTATATTCTCATTTCCATTTTGATTGCTTCTATTATCTAATCAGGGTAGATAATGTGCTGAAAAGTCACATGAGGCATTATTAGATGAGCTGATCATTTTGCACTATTTGTTAATAATACGACAATCAGAATGATATCAGACAATTTGTGATTTAGCATTGCTAATGTCATGCTTGTGAGTTATATATTAGTCAGTGAATCACAGGATTAAGTCTTGAAGAAAATAACTTAATATCCACTCCAATATATTATACCAATATATTATACACACACATTCCTAAATTTATACTTAGCCTATCTATCACAAAGTTCACCTACAGCTTTTCTGACATCAGAAAAAGATATTGGTATAATATGAAGCAACAACCCTGTTCAATACAGGTAGTCCTTAACTTACAATAGTTCATTTAATGACTGAAGTTACAACAGCACTGAAAAGGGTGATTTATGACCATTTTTTCACATTTATGACTATTGCAACATCCACATGGTCACGTGATCAAAATTTAGACACTTGGCAACGGTATCAATAGAAATTGCCAATGTATGAGTCTAAGGATAGCGATAGTAGACATGAATAATAGAATGGATGTAAGTCTCAGCAGATGTTGGGAACTGATAAATCCTTGTTAATAATCTTTATAGTTATGAAATAAACTAAGATTGCTTTATGGTACATTATTTGTACTTCTACACTAAAATACAAAGAAATCCAGGCTATTTCAGAAATCTAGGACCAG